TGGCTCTGTGAGAAGCTGAGCTGAGGAGACTCAGGAAGTACATCGTCATCATTGTTTTTCATAAGCTTGGCTGTGGGAGGGAATTACCATGTCCCACTCAAAGTCATCAGAACATCGGAAACTCCAGGCTCAAACGCTCTGGCAATATTTATCTGGGCGCTGGGTCTGTGTTTGACCTTGGACGCAGCAGCTCTTATGATAATTCTACGACTGGAAGCTAGACAGCTGGATCTACTCGCACCTCTTTCCCTTCAATCTTTTACATTTACATTTCAGCAGTGACTCTGCTTATAGGCTCCTGGAGCCAAGGCTCTCGCTTTCCTTTTCATGCGCACACCACGTCAAAGCCAAGGGACACCCAAGGTAAGCAAAGGGCGAGCCAATGATGCTGGGAGGGCACATTAGCGTCTGGAGTGACACAAGGTGACAGTGACCATCCCTATGATAGCAGCCATCGGCTCGCCCCTTCTGATACACGCAGAAAAGACAAAGATGAAGCAGACATGATCTCTGAACTCTGCAATGAACCCCACCCCCACCCCACCCACCCTGCTACACCTACATACCCCTGAAGTATTTCAAATCAGCCAGGGGGATACGTCAAAGGCTCCAACAACTTAGAATGCCAATGCTCAGTGAGCGGTTGTACGTTCTAGGCAACTGGATTTGAGCTTAAATTCTAAGCAGGAACTCCGTGGAAGCCTGTGGGTTTACAATGGGAGCCCAGGACCCATTTTTGCGTCCCCGCTTAGATTCAGCCTCCTGGTTCTTCGTAGCCCTTTCCCGGCAAGGTGAAAGGACTCAAGCACAGTGCACTTGAAAATGGATTGTTTCCACATCCCTGCGCGCCCGGGTGATGCAGTGGTTATGTGATGGGCCACTCCACAGGAGCAAGGCCAGGCTGGGTGCTCCGGGAAAGTATCACCTTCCCAGAGACCCACAGGGGCAGTCGTCCTCTGTGCTGTAGGGTTCCTGTGAATCAGAATCGACCCAATGGCCGTGAGTTGGAGACCCTTCCCCTCGACAGCCCAGGGAGGGA